TGGGATGGCTTCTGAATTTTGAGCACAGGAATTCATTCTTACATGGCACCTGTCAGGTTCTTCATTTTTGGGTAGATATGGAAAACAATAGTGCTGTTTTTGCATAGAATAGCCAAAGAAATGTAGATTTATTGGCTTTTAACAAATTTAAACTGATTGAATTGGGTCCTGCTTTCAATTAAATCATCTTTCGTTTAAAAAGTGAACTTTTTTCAATTAATTTGACGAATAAGAAATGAAATTGAAGCTCTGCAATTTCTCTCTAGTATTTTGGGAATCCAAAATGAATAAATTTCTTTAAAATTGTTCATACATATATGAACATTATAAGTTGGCAATGGCAATGAGCATTATATCATGCATCAAATGCACTTACCTGTCAATAAACTGTATTGGTGCCACCTTCTTCTTTACGTGTTCTCAAATCAGAAAATTTCTAGCGCACTCCCGCCACATCTACTAACCATGGAGGCATAATTTACACTAACAGTCGCAGCTTGCCACTGTAACAGCTCAACCTTAGAGGTTATGTTTTCGTCAAAATTTCCTAGGAGAACCTCTTTACTTTCGGGAACTGCAGTTATAATAGCCATTACTTCTTCATCACTTAAATTTGGTCGGCTTCTGCTTTGCTGATCCATTGTTCAAACTTCAAATATGACAACCTATCCTTTAAAGTTAACTCAGCACACAGCTATTAATTCGTTTTGTTCTATTTTTATACGAAATTGACAACGATTTTAGCGTTTTGCTTTCACGTTCAAATCACTGACCGTTTGAGCTCCAACTGGATAACAGCTTAATTAAGATTATTGAATTAATGAACAATAAATGTAGAAAGAAGATGGCATAAGAATCATGATTATATATTATGATCTGTTAATTGAATTGAAAATTAGTGTTAAGTTTAGAAATTTTTATGAAAATTTAATGATAATAAATGAAAAAACTTCATCAACTATGACGGAATAAGTTTGAAAATAACACCTATAACGATGATCAATGACACATAGGTTGCCACTCAGCACAGCAGCTACTGCACATAACCCTATACTCATTAATATCAACCATAAAATACAGTAATTATTATCACTGGTCAGAATCACTAGTAGTGTTTGATTGCAATATATAGCATATATATTTCATCAATCATGCAACAAAGTTTTGTCATAGTTTTGTTAACTAAATAGATGGTTTGTTTTGCCTGTCACAACATATTACATGTTCTGGCAAAGTTGGCTAATTTAATAGTAACGAAATAAAGCAAGTATTTGCCTATTTGTTAAGCGAATAAACTATTTAACAGAACAAAACAACTTTTCAATGGTTGTAGCTGCATTGGGATACGACAAGTAATTTCCAAATCTGATTGATTCATGTATTAGCTGTCATGAATTATCATTCTCAGTCATGAACAAATTAGTTGTGGTCACAACTCGCAAGTCACAACACGTAGTTCGATATTGATACATGCTAGGCAGCCAGCCTCTCTCATAGGCTCATACTGAAGATTACACATCGATAGGTCATAATGTAAAAATCACAAAAATTTAGTAATTTGCTATTCAAAAAAGGTATTTACCGGAGCTAAATTTCTGCTCAGATATCTAAATTCCTATATTTGATCTAAAAATTGTGAAATCAGTAGACATTGATGCTCCACGTAATCAGACATAAGAGACATCAGACGCTAGATGTAATCTTCTTGTGCGTAGGTATAAGAAGCTACGCACATTTAGTGATGTTTTGAAAATACCTGCCCAGGACGGAGGTCGCTGTTTGGCATTCAACTGTTCGAAAGTATTTCCACCTTGACATTGAAAAATGATGCTCCTAAAATTTCAAATACAGTCGTTCAATTTCATTTGAACTAAAGAGTACATTAAAACCCCTAAAAATTATTTGACATCGTCTTACCACATTTTGTAAATTAATTGCCAGAAAGATTATTAAGAATAAACTTCCGCATTCTGAGATTTTAGGGTACGTTTCGAAAATTTTTACGAGAACTCCTTCCAAGAATTATAGTACGACATGTGCCATAATTTATTCTTCTGTTAATTACAAAATTTGTGGAGAAGAATAATAAAATTCTGACCACCGTTTAAATAACCAATCTGATTGAATTTGGTGGCCGGTGACAACAAATTTTTGAACAATATTTAAAGTTTATAACCTGCTACGAACTTCTTGATTTATTTCAGTAAATCAAACAGAAATTGTCAGAAAAGATTGATCATTAATTGTAGATGCCATTTGGGATTATATACTAATCATAACAATTAAAATACCTGTCTCTACGTTACAAGTCTCAAATAACTTATCTATTGCTTTTCTATTCTTCCGCAAGAAAGTTTTAGAACAAATGTATTCGCCAACGTATTAATATGAAGTACAGATCGTCAGCAAGGCAATGCTAGTTTCTCTCCCGCTTCTTTCAAAACCAACAGTTCAGCCCTTTTGATGGCCAGCTCTAAACCTGCCGCGAAACGGACATGGATTGAAAGCCGTTGCCTATATACGTATACAACGAAGTGAAATTACTGCCAATATGCGGCTGCTCCCTGTCACTTATTTTGCTGCTGCCCTGGCACGAATTCCTGCTTAAATGCTGCTGCTTAACTGCTCTCCAGCTGCGAGCGGCGTAGAATGCCTAACCGAATTTTAACTGGGATAGCGTCCTCAATACGAGTAACTGGCAATGAGAAAGCTGGGCCTACAGTATAAATTTTTTAAGCATATCCGTCTTTTTCCGTAATGTTTGAATGTCCATCTTCCATTACTCTCAGATACAAATGCTCACATATATTTCATTTCGGGTGGGACCTAAATTTTGCCCTTTATGAGCTCAATCCTCTAAAAAACATGAATTTGTTCCAGGTTATGTGCTAATTGGTTATGCGATCTAATCTTTTATCTGAAACAATGTTTCAATTAATCTGTTATACAATTACGAGACTAACTAACAACAATCATTATTTTGATGGGAGCAATTGCGATGTAACTGCGAGAAAAGTAATAAATTTTTTATTCAATAGGCACGATTGTTTATGTCTCTTCCAAATTTTCCCTAATTGTTAGATGACATGTCATTGACAGCTAGGATATTGGTTGTAGTGTTTTTTGGTTGATACGTGGTAGTGGTCGCTTCTTCATGGATGTGGGTAATTGAGACCTCTGGAGTCCCCTGGTTTGAACAGTTGTAATTATTACAGAGGAAGATGAGTGAGGAACCTCGGCAGCAAGCGCTGGGTGCACAGCTTCTTCGTGGTAAGATTCATTGGCGCTGCATTCATTGTTTTGGGCGACAGTTTGTTGAAATGTAGAAATAACTGGAGACATCTCATGACAATCTAGCACTGCGGTGGATGGTTTGGTGAAGACCCTTGCATTACGTTCTGCAATAGATGTTAGCACTTGAGCCGACTCTAGGCAATGGCTACTCTGAACTGAAACAAAATTTTGAGGTTGTGCAAATTCACATCTCTCAGACATAACATTGCCACCAGGTTCATCTTGAATTTCAGGTCCACAAGGTTGTCGGTCAGGCAGGTTCGCTGCTTGACTGGGTTCAGTGTGTGGAGGATTCACTGACTCATAAATTACAGCTGGCCGGCGGCTCTGTGAAATGAGACGACGTGATGATGGCGAATTGGCAAGTGGTTCTTGGTTCATTAGTGGGCTTGCCTCATCAATGGTGTCCCCAGTTCTGCTACTGGCAAGCAGTTCCCCAGAGTACGTGTTTTGGTATCCATCCTCAATGGAAGCCATACTGAGCTGTGATAGGAGGTCATCACACCCTGCCAGGTCGAACGTGATTCCTGAGATGACGAGAAATGTAAAATTACTGCTTTGTACTTCGAAATTAAGAAAAGATATAGACCAAGGGTATATCGATTTAATAAGTGAAAAAGAGTTCAAGATTATCACAACACTTCCAATGTTATATACCTTGTTATTCAATGTTATATACAATACCTTGCTCAAATTTTACAAAATAGTTCCTCGACTCAAAATAATGTTTAGAACATATCCGAATTGTAAGACGTTGATGAAACTATTGAAATTCCTTCTTATTCGTGTGAAACAAATTAACGATTGGGTATTGGAAAAACACGTATTGAGTCACCCACCTCGAGTTGCACTGACTGCAAGCTTGAGATAATAAATGAAAGCTATGACCAGAATGACCAGATTTTCCACTTTTTCCTGTGAAGGAGGAACCAAATTTAAGATTTAAGAATTGGACATAACAACGAGTCAAAATTTACGAATTGAAATGAACAAATTTTGCAGTGTTCATTTAATTTTCGATATATGTAAGTCTATTTTTCAGAACCTTGAGACTGGCGTTAGAAGTCCAGCTAAAACAATGTAGTTTCACACGACTTTCATTGAAGATATTTCGAGAAAAAACTACAGCTGTGCGAGTTAATTTACATATACTTCATCATGTCGATTTATTTCTGATTTACATCATCTACTCACGAGTGAATCCACCATGTGTGCTCTGTTCCTGCGCAGTTTTAAAATCACTTCCATCACATCAACTTCTGCAGAGGAAAACTCAGCCTTCAGTTGCAGGTTCCATAGCCCGAATAAAACTCCCGTACGTCCACTACCATTACTGCTCGCAGACATCAGTATCCCCGATCACAAGGATTTTATGTATGTGATTTTCAATTTCTCTTATCGCCTGACGAATCAAAAAATAGGAGCAAAAGCCTAACTCAAGCCTGACACATTAATTGAACAATCTTTCAATTGTATATTGATTTCAATTGACGAAGGGGCATAAAAATAACAACCTATTAATTAACAATATACAAGTTCTGGTGCAAAGATATAGGGAATTTTGTTACAAGTTAATTACCTGCAGTGGGCAACCACGTTACTCGGTCCCTCAGGCAGGCCTTCGCGAATTTTATGAAGAAAACCAACCAGAATGTTCCCTTACCCCCTACATTTTAATATAAATATCAATAAACTAATCCCTCTTACATCCCACGATGTCTCATTCAATGTGCTCAAGCAGCGTCTTACATTAAGGTGGGACTTGGCGTCAAGGACCCAACCTCAAACTGCGTGTAACAGGGTCAAATTTTCATTATTAGGACATCCTGGAGTCGAATTAACCTAACCTTAGTTTCCCCCAAATAGTTTGTCGAAGTAGACAAAACCATGTCCAAGAGCACGGTCATCCTTAAAAGGAAAGGGCCTGCAGTCCTAAACCCAGCCTCAAGTTCTATTACCATGTGGCCCTGCTATAAAAAAAATAACTTGGCACTCCAGACCTAACCCAATCAATGAACGCATGGAACTAAAACAAAGCTTAATATAAAGGAAAAGCTGGAGAGGTGACGGAATTACCTACGATGTCGGAATATACCGCGTTTACCCTACTTGCCTATTTGATACATCTGGCAAGGGTCATTTCTACTGAATTTTCAGTATATATAGTTCCAAGCCAGATTTTTACTCAGAAATGTCATTTACAATTACAAGTAGCCAACTAAGCCAAGTAGGTATATGTAATTTTCTAGTGTAAAATGGGCTCCATAGCATGATAGCCAATGGCCTTCATGCCCTTCACAAACTGCAATCTGCATCACTAGACATTAGGCATATTCAGGCAAAAGCCACTCATGAATGAAACAAAAATGTCCATGTTTGACGCTTGTCAATAAAGTGCTTGTCCTGTGGCCCTCACAGGCCCTGCAGCCTAGCTATTTTTTTGTAGAAATGAAGCAAAGTGTCCAAATTTCACATTTGGCACACACTTTTCGAAAATCACCTGCAAATCTGAAAATAGTCTTTCACAGTTCACCCTCTTCAATTATTTGAGAAATTCTACATTTGCAAAGAACAAGCTCCATCTTGATTGATCTCTGCAGTCTGAACACTTGACCAAAGATGTTTCACAAGAGCGGCGCACACACTCTCACCATTGCTAATCAGCTCAACTGGCACTGGCCGCCTGCCCGCCTCCACTGCCCGGCCCCCTTGACCCCTCAAGTGTTTCCAACTTTTTTCTCAGTGAGAATACCAGATTGCCTAGCTCAAAATACCAGAAATATGCCAAACATTATATTTTTTAAAAACAGACCTACTTATACCTTAGAATTTGATTAATCTATGTGTCAGAAAGATTGACTAAAAAATAAGTAATTTTAATCCTTGTTACGAAGTTTTGATAATCCGGCCCTTGCAGAAACTGGCGCACAGAGGATCGAACCCGCGCCTCTCTGCTCTAATCTCGGTATTCTGAACTGTAACCACTGGGCCACCCTGCAGTCCTTGTTAACAATTGGATTGGAGTTTTTTCATCAAGCCGTAATCTTGCGATTCCAAAAATGATGGGAAAGCTGTGGTCGCCCCGCTCTCAAGGCCATAATCTATATAATCTACGCCTACGCTGAGGAAAGTTCAAACTTCAGAGCTGGAACTTAATGCAGTCAATTTGCAGTAAGCCAGATAATACCTGATTTAGGCAAATATACCAGATCTAAATATTCATACCAGCCACCGTCTGAAAATACCAGATTTGTGAAATCTGGTATTGAAATATACCAGTTGGCAACGCTGGCCGCCTGTCGGCGAAGAAAAGCAAGCATGGTTGCTCCTCCCAGCCACGTATCGGCTGTCTACACATGCCACTGAAGCAGCTGAACCCCTATACACGAGGCTAGTAGTGTGGACAGTTCAAGCGGCAGAGGAACTGGCGGCTAGTACTGTCCCCGTGTACAGGCACCTTTTGAGTACATTACTCCTAATTCCCAAAGACTTCAATTTACGCAACAGCCGCTCATGTGGGACACTGTCGAATGCTTTGGCAAAATCGAGGTACACTGCATCGACTGGCTCCCTTTCGTCCAGCAGGCGGGTCCATTCATTCAAAGTAGACAAGAGGCTAGTGGTGCAGGATCTAAGGGCTATGAAGCCACGGTGACAGACCGAATCGACACTTCTCCGGACCCGTCGGCGGACTCATCAGTTGTAGACAGTCTGAATGGAGATTATTAAGTCAATTGATCGATCCCTCACAACAGATTCCATTACCTTGCAAACGACACTTTACAAACTCACAGGGCGATAGATGTCCGGGTAGATATATGGTCACCGTGTGATATATTCATTAATTTTTCTAATGTAAGTATTATATTCACTAGACTTGGAAGCTTTCAAAGACATATTGCTGGTACCTTGTCTTTCATCAGGCATAGCGGTTATAACTAATTTCCCGGCTTCCCCGAGTCGAGAATAAGGACTGCATTCGTAGAGAATAATCAATAATAATTCTTAAGCTAAGTCTCATACAGCATCTCGTTATCAACAAACCAGAATATCCCAGTGCCCCCTACATTTTAATATCAATATCAATAAACAACAATAAACAACAATAAACTACAATAAACTACAATAAACTAAATCATCTTACATCCCACGATGTCTCATACAATGTGCTCAAGCAGCGTCTACCATTAAGGTGGGACTTGGCGTCTGGGACCCAACGTCAAACTGCGTGTAACAGCGTCAGATTTTCATCACAAAAACAGCCTGAAGTCGAATTAACCTAACCATAGTTTCCCCCACATATTTTGTCGAGGTAGACAAAAGCATGTCCATGAGCACGGTCATCATTAAAAGGAAAAGGCCTGCTGTCCTAAACCCAACCTCAAGTTCTATTANTCATAATTTCACTATAAACAACAATCTGGAGTCCCTAACCTAACCATAGTATCCCCCAGATAGCTTATTGATGTTGACACCACCATGTTCAACAGCATGGTCATTCTTGCAAGGAAAATGCCTTTGCAGTCCTAAACCCACAACCTCAGGTTGTCTTATCGGGTCGGCCCTGCTAAAAAAAGAACTTGGCACACCTAACCTAACCCCAGATTCCATCAGCTATATATCTGGGCTGCATCAGAAGTCCTCAGTCATTAATTTCATTAAAATAGCACGGCGTCCAAAACCTAAGCTGTCTTAAACCTGGCAAGTCTACTTTGACAGCGGAAGGGACCCGAAAGTGTCCCACCGCGTTCACGATGTCTACCACACAATGTGCTTCCATTAGGTAGACGATGTATAACAAACAACATCAACATTGACTCAGCGTCATACTGCGTCAAACAAAGCATTCACTTTATTAAAGACATCTTTTATATCCCACCTAACCTTAATTTGCATCCTATATCTGCATCTCCTATCTAAGCAATTCAATAATGCAATCTCCGAGAGCAATACGTATTATGTGTCGGTGTCAAAATAACTCCTATTTAAATGTCACAATCGCAAATTAAACGTTCAATTTCAGTGCCTCGTCTAGTTACACTAGTGCTAGTCGATAGATGTCAAAACGCGCGTTCACTTTTAAAAGAAACTTCGCCATCTCCACCTAATCTTAATGTGTCATATTATGCTCCAATAGAGCAACATCCACAATCTTCAATGACCCTGCGTCAAAATAGTAACTCGCAATATACTAACAAAAATTCATGTATATATACCTCATCGCACCACTTAACGATTTCTCAAACAACGAATTCACTTTAAAACATCTTTGCTATCCCGACCTAACCTTAGTGAGCATCCCATCTGCATCTCCTATCTAATCAATTCAATAATACATTCTTCCGGAGAAACGCCTATAATGCGTCGGTGTCAGAATAACTCCTATTCACATACCGCACTCAAAAATTAAACCATAAATTTCAGTATCTAGTCTCGTTACACTAGTATGGACGATATATGTCAAAACATGCGTTCACTTCGAAAGGAACTCGGCTATCTCCACCTAACCTTATTAATGCGCATGTTACCCGCATCACGAGATAATACCTGTCGTCACACGAGATCCTTCATATAGAATAACTTTCTACATTTCATAATAAGAACTTTTCTGTCTGCACCTAATCTATATGCAATGTCTATGCTGCAGGCATCTCAAATTTTCCCTACGAGGTTTCAGTATATCAAAACCTGGCAGCTGAAATTCAACAGGTACAATTTTCCCCCCGTGATTTTTAGGCATATTTTGCGTCCATTTGCCAATCTTTTTGCAGAAGTTAACAATTTTCTCAATCATTCGTACGACAGAAACGTGTATTCAAAGTGTATTAATCACGAAAGTGTAAACGANTGTCAGAATAACTCCTATTCACATACCGCACTCGCAAATTAAACCATAAATTTCAGTATCTAGTCTCGTTACACTAGTATAGACGATATATGTCAAAACATGCCTTCACTTCGAAAGGAACTCGGCTATCTCCACCTAACATTATTAATGTGCATGTTACCCGCATCACGAGACAATACCTGTCGTCACACGAGATCCTTCATATAGAATAACTTTCTACATTTCATAATAAGAACTTTTCTGTCTGCACCTAATCTATATGCAAAGTCTATGCTGAAGGCATCTCAAATTTTCCCTACGAGCTTTTAGTATATATGTTGAAAATATGTACAATATATTCATTTTCAACTCATCATGACGTCATCCCTAGTAGCTCTGACAGGCATTGAAATGTGAAATCATTATTGCAGGCATTGAGCTAAACTTCTGTGGAATCAATTCAATCATAACTACTGTTCATACATTCAGCGCGCAACTGCTTGAGAAATGAATTAATTTTTCATCAGGTTCCATCGTTCGAAATAAATCTGGTTCAATTTCGAGGAAGAACCTACCAACGTTTGATAACGTTGCTCTGCCAAATAATTTTACAAATGCCGAGGCTGCGTTGCCACTTCTTAGTTGTCCAAGATCTCTATAACATACAATTTCCTTCAAAAGGCATCATATTTTGCGTCCATTTGCCAATTTTTTTTTGCAGAAGTTACAATTTTCTCAATCATTCGTACGACAGAATGTTGATGGCACCTCAAGAATACTCTTTCAAAGTGTATTAATCACGAAAATAGAAACGATTCTTGACCTCTCAGTATCGCTAAGATTCAAGTTATAACACCCAGTGCGATTACGAATAGAATGAAAATAATATATACCATCCTGGACCATACCTGAAGAGTTTCCAACATTCAGTCTATGATAAGATTTGGTCGGATATCGGTAACCCCAATTTTCTGAAACCATAGATCTATTTCCTTGCCTCCAAGTTGTAATAGAAATAAGTCTCTAGTAAGTAGCAAGTCGATTGATAGTCTCTGTAAAAAAAGTACCGCGACGACTCCCGGAAGATTCAATTTCAACTACACGGGAAAATAATGGCTTCATACAGCCGCCTCGTCTTACTAAGGTAATGTCACGGAAAGCTTCAATAAATTGTTCAATTCACAACCTTTTCTCCGATTATTTTATTTGCTATGGGATTTTAAATACTCCATGAATTTTTCTAACGAAAACTTGCTTAATACTCGGAATATTCCCATTGCAACTCGGAATATTCCCCTAGGCCGAACTTATTACTTTGCACGGATAACTAATTACCATTACTTTGCAATTCGTCATGCACAGAGCTCGAAACTGGCGAGGCCTTCTATATAATAACTGCAAACGACGCAGAAGCCTTACAGTTATTCTAGTCGCCGGACGTACCGTAACTCGGCCAATGGGTAGCTGTGTACGAGCCGCATTCGGCAGGAAAAATTCACAACCTGACAATCCTCCATACAAATACTTCTTTAGTTCCGCTGTCTCTATTTCCCAACACTGCCAACATTAGTCTATCAACGGTACTGGGAGCGGCGTCAAATAATGAACCCGTCAAGACCTTCTTCATCGAAGTGCCTGCTAGCGACGTCCGCTTAGGAACCGTCGGTTCGCCTTCAGCCTGCACTTCTGTCATGTGTGATTCAGCGCACCTAACCTTGGCTGCTAGAGCAACCTACACCGCCCTCGTGGGTGGGCGAATTGGTCATCGCGCACTTGCAGGTAACGTGACTATAAATAGGCATAAAATCAGCGGATGTCCTTTCAGCAGTGAGAAGCTAGCCAAGTTGTTGATCTCAAAGGCAGCCTTGCAGCTGAATTAACAGTTTATTGAAAATATCTAATCATTTATTGAATAGAGTTAATCAAAATCCTCACATCAATCGTACAATGTTGAAAAAACTTGTAATCATAGTAATTGAGCCAATGCATGTAAAACTTGCAATAAATGAAAAAATTTGATACTGAGCGAGTCACTCAAACTTCTTCTCCTAGGATCCTTAAATAACGTTATTAAGCATTTGTTCACGACAGTTCATATGAACTCAGTTTTGTACTTCATCCGAATTTTAACCTTCCAGACACCTACAGCACGCAGACCCAGAGTAATTACAGAACTAATTTGGCTAAGGTCTTTCATTTTTGAAATAATTCCTGAAGCACTAATCGAAAACATTCTTTCAGTCTCAGCAGATTTATCACGACCGGCTGAGAGAAGAAATGAAAACTTTGTTCCAAGCATTCGCCGACGCGGACGTAAAGATTATCATAGGAGGCTGGTTCAAGCCTTCTTTCACATCGGCCGACACTAGCCAGGATACTCCAAAGCAAAAGAGAAATGCGCACATCTCTCTGCTTTCGCCGAATCCCCTGCCAAAAAATTTTCGGCTCATCTTTAGTGGGGACATCTTTGTCAGAGCTTTCTATACTCAATTACCATCCATCCGTCCAGCAGCTAAAAATGCCCCATTTCGGGACACAGATCAATGCAAGCGGTGAAAGAGATGCCGCTGGTCCCAGTGAACAAAGAAGACAATGCATTCTTCCGAAGAGCTTCAGCAGTCCTAATGCTGCCGCTACCTCTGCCGATGTAGCTTGCCTGAGCAGCGACGACGAGGATATCTTCCAACATCCTTTGGAGAAGGATGTCATACCATTGTCATAATACCCTACTAATCTCATGAAATATTTTCCATATAAGGGCCTTTTCTAAAGCACTACATAGCTGCTACAATTTCACATGGACTCAGTCTAACGATATTCGGGCTAACAATTCGTGCGATCGGTAAAAGAGACGCAAATTTAATTCCTTAACTTTTGGTAAACTTTTAATGTATTCTGGCCTCTACAACTCGTTCTTCAATGTGTTCTGGCCTCTACAACAGGGCACACGTGCAGCGTCACCAACCTGTCTCTGCAACAATTCCTAAACTAACGAGTTTCAGTCGCACTCAATTCCGTTATTTAAAATTTATATTCACGGCTTAATGAACGAACACGTTAACTATATAAGATTGCTGGTATGTAAGTTTTCCAATTTACTAGTGAAAGAGTGAACACACAATGAACACGCTAATTTTTCCACGGGTTTAAATGTCGTACAATCAGTTGCGACATTAGGTCAAATGAAAAGCATAAATAAATATACTTAATACGTTTTATTGGCAAGGGCCTCCGCCCTTTGGCCTGACCCACGAGTATGCCGGGTGTCCGGCCGACGCGCAGGCCAGGGTACCCCCACGACGTAGACGCGGCAGAGGTCGTGGGCGTAGACGCGGCAGAGATCGGGGGCTGGTCGGCTGTTGACGATTGCAGAAAATTCGAGTTAAACGGTGAACCAAGAAAACTGTGAAAACCTTATATTAATGACCTTAATTATTTAACGAATAAAATAGCTTAGAAGCATATAAATGTTTGGCAACTAATGGCCTATCGGAGAATACACAGAGAGTTGCGCTAGCGCGCAAGACGCTCGTGGCGAGCGCAAGACGCTCGTGGCGAGCGCAAGACGCTCGTGGCGAGCGCAAGACGCTCGCCACGAGCGATGCCAGTAGAATGTTCTTAATACTAAGCTTCAGTAGTAATATATCATACTGATTTATTGCTGTTAACAGATATAGGTGAAGAAAGGAAATATATGCCTCTCAAATATTACAGAAAACCAGTGTAATAGAAATATATTATTGCCAATCCTATACAAAATATCTAATGACAGTTTTCTTTCAAAAGAATCTGTCATTTTTGAAATGAATTACTTTCAAGTTAGATAATGGCCGTCTCTTCAGGCCATGCGCTTCAAAAGAAAAAACTATCTTATCACTGCCAGAGGATACCTTTATTAAAACCATAATAGTCAAACTTACTTTATAGGAAACTGTGATGCAGTGCAGGAAGTGTTACACACTACTGCTAACAACAGCAATGAAGAGTTTAACAGCTGGGCCAGGTATGCAGTGGCGAGACCCGGCTCATGACTTTCTCCTGGGAAGTTATATAAAATTAATTAATTGAGAAAGAAGAATTGTAACTTATTTTGAATAGCACATACATATATTTTTTTTACTTCTGTGTAAAAATTTATACAGTCCATTTATACAGTCCATTTATACTTTTTCACATAAACATCTGCACCATTTGACAAGTTTCAATAAACAAAGATATTTTATTTCCTACTCAGTGGCAATGCTCTCAAATCTTATACTCAACCCTCCTCTAAAGTTAACAAAACCCAACAAGTTAAAACATCCCTTAACAAAAACTAATTAATGATCATCAGTTGAGTAAAATATATAAAATACTTCAATGAGAAAAACATGCTAAGTGCTTTGCATAAAGCCAAAAGTATATAAATACAATCTGGTCATGATACTTAAAAATGACTCAACTAACATTAATAACCACGCTAATTCAAAATAACACCAAATCTAAGCAGTAGGCCTGTCTCATGTTATCACATTATTTCAAATGCTGCTCAGTTACTGGAAAAATCAAATGTTAGAATGTGGAAAGGAATGTATAAGGAATGTGGGGAAAGGATTGTGAGGAAAATTTCACTCACCAAACTGAATTGAAGAGTGGAGAAATTTTCAAAATACAGCCATCACAGCAGCATATCCATTAGCAACACATTCTGGAACATAAGAAAAAATTTTTAAACATGAAAATTGAGATAACAACAAACTTATTTCCTATGATTTGGTAAGTTACAAGGTTTGTGTAGTGTGCATGCTCTGGAAATGAGAGCATTTTAACAAATGAAAAGTCAGACAATATGTGAACACAACATTGCACTGGTATTACAATAATATTAATATAATTTTATAACATGCAATAATACATTGCTTCATTGCCTACATTTATCAAGTGATTCGATCTTTCTTTCATAGCTGCATAATGCAGAATTCAATCTACTAGTGCTATCACACACACTCATGGCACCTGGCTGATGGGAAGCACATCTGGAAATATTACAGGGTCCAAGCTTAGACCATCAAATTGGCAGGTTCTTAGCAATTCTTTTACCTACACACAGTATACAAGATGACTACGGTATTCAAGAAAGTGCTGCAACTACTAATTAATTAATTCTTAATTAATTAATTTACTTATTTATTATTAATTAATTTATGAATTTTACTAAAAATTAATACTTTTTAGAGCAAAAGCAAGAATTCTTACTACACACTGCATCATATCATCACTATAAAAGAGGAGCACAAACAATGGCAAGGTCTGAATTCAACACACAATTCAACATTAAGATGAATTGCCTTGCTGCCTTTGTGTGACATAGGTACCTATGTGCATTGACGTCTAAATGCACGAAATTTTATAAGCCATCAAACTTAAATGAATTCTGCAGTTTCCAGCTGAATATTGGCTATTTGATTAAATTGAATAGAAGGAATTGAGTATAGTGTTTGAAAAACTAGAATCAAGATTATATATACAGAGATTTAGTCTATGCCTTTCTCATGAATGATGGGCAATGAGGCTCTTACTGTAGAAAAATATAGCTATTTTTTCACCAACTTCATAAGCTATTTGATTCTTATGGCCTGTTCTGTGCCTGGACTCTGCACTCACTATGGTATTGTTAAATTAAAAAGATTTGGGTGAAAGTTTCAAGTTGAATTGTGGTATTACAAATATGCACTTCACCTTGCCATTTATGAACAACTACATAGAGTGTATGAAAAAAAATCAATAATGCAACTCCATTTACAGCTTGCACAATGAATGTTGAATTTTTAGTAATGAAGCTTAAATCAATTACAGTAATAATTTAAATTAAATGCTTTTCAGTGTAAGTCAACTAGGTATTATTCAATGTAGTACAGCACTGAAATGCTGCGGTGCACTAATGCTTGCGATTGTCGTCGCAAGCTGCACAGGTGCTCATCCGCTGCTGGGATCTGTAATATAAAGCAAAATTAGATTTGACCATATTACACCAAAGCTTTGACTAGCCAAAAACCTTAGCAGATATATTATAAGCATTACAATAATTCATGAGTGACGTCATTTAAAAAGAAAAAATCTTAAATCATACATACAAAAGTTGTGTATGCGATTAAAATAAATAATGACATTTATAAGAATGTAATTCTGATGAAACTCAAATGAAGTTAGGGTAATATTGCACATAGACACAACCTGACAAATTATGTAAGAATGCAAACAANATCTGATAATTAACTGTACTAGGCTTGGTACAGGAAAAATATTTGAATGGGACTAACATACTCCAGAGCTATCGGGCCACCTTAAGGTTATACAACATGCTTGAAGCATTAATTAATACCTAGAGCAAGACAGCAGATGCACCATGTCAACAGTGAGCAGCACAAAGAGCAAGCGAAATTCTACCAGGATATTTAGCTTACACAGCAAATTCTACCAGCATATTTTCATAGACCCATTAGAAAAATTACTGAGAACAATTATCAGGTGCATCATGAAAACTCAATTGAAGCATAAGAAATTGTACAGGTACCATAAAAATGACAATATGGATTGTTCAAACAAAAAAACTCGCTACACAGCCTAAATGATTCACATTGATGTTATAAAGTATTCAGAAATTTTTTAGCACAGATTAATTTTAAATGTGGTCTGCTACATGTGACATAATGTGTACACTACACAAGTATTAAAACAGTGAAATTGACCTTGGATACAAAATATTAACAAAAGAAAATGACTGCAACACACATCTTAAGGTGAAAAGGAAACAATGCTCTGAAGTATTGAGACTGATGGCTTCATTAGGAAGTAATACATTTGCCTTAAAATACCTTCAACATGCTTCAACTGCAGCCTCGCAGACCCGGTGTTCTTCTGACCGCGTGCACTACCAGACAACGCCTCGCACACCGCTCCGAGAACATGATATCTGCACAAAAAATGGTCATATTGAATAAATTTACAAACAAATACTGGCAACAAAAGGTAAGCTGATACACCATCGATTAACAGGCCACTTTAGCTGAGACAACATGCCTGAGGCATTAATTAATAGAGCAGAAAACATAGTTAATGAAACTACAATGAATAAATCAAACATAAAGTTAAAAACAAGAGAATAAATCTCGCAGGAGAATACATGGAATTTGATATGTATAGCATTCATATTGAAGTTAGAATGTAGGTATTCAGAACTTTTATACCAAAGATAAATTTTGAAAATGGTATGCTGGATGTGACATAATGTTTACATTATACAAGTATTACGTATAACACTAAAGTTGTCTTTGAATCCTAAAAATTTTAAAATTAAATAACTGCATCAAAGATTCCAAGGTTTAAACAGTTAACAAATCTTCAAAATTATTTTGGTGGCACACCATCATTGTGATGTCTTGCCTTTGAACACATTTGCCCTTAAATACCTACAAAATACAGATATCCAAGGCAATAATACATCTTGACATTTGAAGTGGTTATGACAACATATCCACACTAATGCTGGCACTGCTTCAAACTTTCTTAGTGACAATAGAATACTCACTGCACTATTTCAAACTCTGGATGACCTGTCTTCTGTCTCTTCTATGGAGGACTCTGCAAAAATCAAAGATATTATAATAAATTGGGTGATACAAAAATGAAATCTGCTAAGTAACAAATTAAAAAAAAGTGAATGTATTAACTCACTAAACAGAAGAAAGTAGTAAAAGTAACAGTTACAATAATGATCCTGAAAAGTACAATAGAAACATCAATATAAACTAGGTTCAGATCGGACCTGTCGACTGGCTTCATTGACCAGCTGTAGTAAAAATTACACCCTGCTCTGAACAAAGCACCTATGTCCAAGAAGACTGGTGCTTAAAGATAAATCAAGAAAACTACACAAGCTCTCAGGCCCAACGGTCATCCTTGCGGTTGTCCTGTGGCTTTAAGTCTACCCTGCGTGGACATCCCGAAAAGAAGAAGGACCAATGGCCATTTAGAGTTGATATTCAATACCTATAAAACATAGATTAAAATTTGCAACAGTGCAACTTGACATCTGTTTGCTGATAAGCAGATTATTGAAATATATAATAATAATACCGGTATTCTAATATTTAAGGCCAATTAGGCCATGATAGCAATTAGTGCTGCAAAGATGTCGCGAACTTGTAAGTGATTAAAATATGTTTGATGAGGAATATTACTTCAGAATATTGCAATATTGGGAACTCTGTGACTGTGATCCTGACTGGAAATTTAAGGTCCTTAACAGGAGCTCTAAAATTAAAGACTAAAAAGGTCCTTAACAGGAGCTCTAAAATTAAAGACTAAAATGTAATTGTATTAAGCCAGATTAAAATTTTCCTACTTTTGAAAAATGTCCTGCACCTAAAAAAATTTCCAATTTTTGATGCTTTTGGAATCAGGTGGCTTGATTGTTAGTTTTTTCAATAATTAGTTAGGAGATAAATCATCTAGCAGGAATCTTGCAGCCCTAAAAATGTCAAGAAAGCTCTAGTGGCAGCTTAAATGGAATAAAATGGTAGATATATTCCACAACAGCCTGACAGATACAAAGAAGGACTTGTATGGATGTAATGGATATGGATCTAATAGAGTTCTTGAACGTTTTAATGGAACTGCTAAATGTTTTAAATTTAAGGGATTCATTTAAGACAGGCAGTTGTAGTGCAGCAAAGTCTGAGACTAAGAGCAAGATATTTGCAAGCATCATTTGAAGTCCTTGATATAAGTTGATAATGGCCAGTTGCTACTCTCAAGATTGTAGTTCTTGTAATCTACCTAGCAAGCCCCTTTTTAGCGCATTTTCTCATTTGTGGAAAAAATGCACTATTGTGCTAGCCAGGCCGCCAGGGCTGGAAAAGTCCTATTTTTGTTTGAAATATTGCGGCTCTAATATCATATAATTTCAGTAGGTATGAAATCTTGTGGCTCGAATGTCATAAATTTTTGTTTGATTGAAAAATCATGGTTTGCACTTCGCAAACATGTCATTTCCTAAAATTTTCAACTTCCGCAATCCGCATTGCTTTACCGTTCCCACCACAATACCCTGCAGTAAAAACATAAAACATAATGTAAACAAATCAACTAAACGTTTTGTTGAAGATTGTTCATAGTTGCGGTTATGTCAAAGCAGTCAGACTGCATTAACACATGCTCAACTTACAGTAAAGACAAATTTTATCTTTGCCATTTGACTGTTTTAGGGTAAAATTAGAGATTTGAGTAACTCGTGAATGGACTTTATAAATAAATTAGTGCCTCGTAAATGGCTTTTCATAACCGAGATATAGAATTCACGGCTCGGTGAAATATAATCACGGCTCAAAGAAATGAAATCACGGCTGGCAAATCCATAAAACCACGGCTCGAAAAATTCAGTCGTAGCTCACCAAGTAGATATATTCCATGCCTGGTGCTCGCCATGTCCGTCTGTCTGTCTGTCCGTCTGTCCATCTGTCTGTCCGTCTGTGACCTCAAGTTTTTGTCGACGAGAAAATGCGCTCTCTGTCACTCACTGCAGTGAGTACTGAGTTATATTTTTTGAAGTTATGGGTGGCTTTCAGATGGGCCAGGAATAGCCAGTGGTCGGCTAGAGCCTAGAGCTAATTGGCCCTCGGCTGACAACTAGCCACATATTATTGCTCCCTCTTCATTGAGTACCCTTCTCTGTATCCCCTGTTGTCGACTGACAGCCAAGTAATTTATATTTTAAGATACCCATTTCCCCTCTTACCTTCCATAACGTCTGCATTTGAACAGTTAGTACACCTGATTTCCACTCCATATAAGGGTATGTTTGTAGATAAGAAGTTTGTGGTAAATATATATATAGGAAATGGAAGTTGATTAAGATACTGTCAAGCGTCAAACAAGGTAATAAGGGACGGTTTTGAGGGTTTTTTGTTGATAACTTCTTACCATGAAACATTTCATCGAGTTTGGGCTCATTTAAAGGTCTTTGCAAGGACTATCATATGAAATCTCCAAAAAAATTCCATATGCTATTTGTAAGGATGCTAGATGCAATATGCTAGATGCAATATATATGCTAGATGCAATATAAAAGGCTCCTGAATCAATCTGGAAACGGAGTAATTAGGAACACATGAAATAAAACTCCATTTTAAAACATTTGAAGCATGCAGAGTGTACTTATCTATTACTAACAGACTAGTAACAGTACAGTACTCTGAAGTCCTCCTCTTCCTTTGTAGATGATGTAAATGTAGAATAAATGACATTTCCTGTGATTTTTACTTAGTTTATCTTTATTGATATAATATTACCTTATCCATACATTACTGCATTATTAATGTGATATTACTGTATCCATGGACATGCCATTGAGCATTGACAACAACCTTGTCCACTGCAAGCTTCATATCAGCAGCCATGTAGTATTTCTTCCGTACAGCAATCCCTTGATTAGCACGGTTTTGAATACCGCGGTTTTGATTAACGTGGAAAAAAAATTTGCGACCTACCCTTAATCTACGTGGTGCCAGTTTTGATTAGCGTGACTTTTTTTTCACAACGCATCATTTTCCCGCCTCTAGCCAGAGGTGTTACGTTCATAACAAAAGTGTTACTTTTAATGCACAATTTTGTGATGACTGATGCAGTAATTTTTTGTTAAATGAAATTTTTTTCACTAAGCAAGGTAAATGTAATCAAAATTCTTTGTTGTTAATTAATTTTTTCATTAACTGGAGCCTTTGCTAACCAAGGTTCTACTGTAATTACCCCGTGAGGGTGTCCCTTATTACCCCGTTTTGCAGAAATGGCTGCCATTTTTTCTTGGAATGAGATATGCAAATTCTGTCAATCACGTTTTAAGCCAACACCAGTGTGCAACTTTTATGTAAGTAAAATTTTTCAATACGACAAATATTTTTCCTGCTACAGACCTTAGCAGAGGTACTTTTCCAAAATCTCACTTTTCACACTTTTTTCAGGGATTTTTTGAGGTAATTAATGTATGATTTCTCAACTTGCTTTATGCTGCATAGATAGTTAAAAATGTTTAACTTTACACCACTATTTTTAGTTTTGCAATATTTTGATTAGTTTAGCTGCTACAACATTTCCACAAAATGTTGGAGGACTGTCCCTTATTACCCCATTTGATGGTCTGTATGTATTTAATGCCTATCAGTAGAGAATAAATAGAACT